CGTCCTCTCTCTCTCTCTCTCTCTCTCCCTCTCCCTCTTTTTCTTTCTGCGAACGTACAATCGAAGAAGAAGAGGAGAAGTTGGAATTCGAACGAGGGTATATAATTTTGGATAGCGAGAAAGCGATCGAGTTTCGTGGCCGGCGAGAAAGTTTCGCGGTCAAGGGGGAATGGACGAACGAATTTTAACCTCCGATGAGTGATAAAAAGACTAGTAGCAGGTAGAGGTAAATTTTGATACGTTTGATTTCCTTCGCTCGGTTTTAATTGCAAATGAAACATCGGTGATTTTGTTTTGCTTCGTGTTATTATTCGCGGTAAGTTATTCCTGGAGTAAAAGTTGTTGTTCGATGGAAAGTTGTGAAAGTATCTCTCTAGTGTGAAAATTTTTTTTTTTTTTTCTACAGGAAGTTGCAGAGTTATGTGGAGGAATTATTAATAGGTGTTTTTTTTTTCTTCTGGAGCGAACATGTGAATTAAAAAAGTGTGTAGATTTAGTAGATAAATTTTTCTTGTTGGTTGTTGTAGGATGTATAGGTGCAATGTACGTATATATTCTTTTTATTGAACAATTTTACACATCCTACATCCTCGTGTTTCTTCGCGACAAATATTTGCACAACTTCAAAAATTAGCATACGAGACACGTTTCGGTACTTCAGAAAAGTTTCAAACGCGTTGTGCAAATCGATATCGGTGCTGTTGCGTCTAACGTTCATGAATTTTAATCGAAATTTGAATGATCGGAAAATACAAAGGAAAATCAATTGGGATTCCAGGCGGATTACGATCGATTTCGCATTGCGCGTCTCGTCTTTTTCCCGTTGAAATTTTTATTTGACGCTGTCGAGATAACTCGTGCGATAAAAATTAATGAAATTGTATAATATATATAAGTGTATTACGTAATTAATACATAAGTGTCTTTTTTACAATTGAATTAATATTATTTGATAAAATTTGTTGAAAGTAACCAATAAATTATTTTACATACAATACTCAATATTTGTAATTTATTTTTTCAATATTAATTCTATATATATTATTATAATTAATACGTTTCTATGCTAATTTAAAAATTTTTCCTTCGATATTATTAAATTACTTTCTCTTTCATTATGCAGGAATGTTATACGGGAAATTTATTTATAACAATTTTCTAAATTGTTCGATAGATATTTTCAACTAATTATTAATTATCACAAAAGCAAAATGTGACTCGAATCAATCTTTCTTTTACCTGCTCCAACATACTCGAAACTACTTAAAATATCGTTCAATTCCGCAGGCGATTTCAACATCGAATCTGAACGAGCAATAAACAGGTGCAGCTAAAGTTCTTCGAAAAAAAACTTGCCCGCTGTTAACCACGAACGAATAAACAGCTAACCCAGAAATTCTTGAAACGCATTTTCTTTTCACGTGCAATCGACTTCTATCGTTCGACATTTTGAAAGGCGAATAAAAACGGGAGCAGTACGCACAAGAACGTGCCGCAATGTGTTCGAGAGATAGCTAATTATGTAATTTTCAGATAAATCGGATAAATCTTGAAACGAATCTCTAGAATTGTGTGGACAGTTGTGTTCCTCAAAAGATTATCATTGGAGATAATTTTAAGGAAATTGATATAATTTGTAAGTAACGTAATTTCCATGATAAATTGGAGTGAACGATAATTTTTTGTCGAATAAAATATTATAATTGAATAATTAATTCTATTATACGTATGGATAATAATTAAGTATTCAATTTTTATTCTCAAAAATTTTTCTTTTCAGCATTTCACGCGTAATTTTGCTGTGAAAATTATTATTACCATTGGACAATTATTAAAATACAAATTAGCTATGTTTAAATAGTATCTGAATACAATCTATGGTTTCGCATGGTATCTTTATTTCCAATATATCGTATCAGTAATATATTATCAAACTCGAATAAATTACCTGATAAAATCGGTCTCTTTGGTCTAAATTTATGCACCATAGATAACAGAGCTAGTTATATTTTATAGTGAACCGTTAACAGTTAGCTGTTGATCGTTATACGAATTATGGCCATTTTACGAATTGTGCCATTTTGAGATTATTATACGATTCTGCTTGTTTTCAAAAAATATGTAAGTACAAATGCATTTCTTTTATGAAAATAACAAATAGATATAGATAGAAAAAGGTAAATATATCAAATTTCAATATTTCTTTTTAATTGTAGAAAATATAACGTCATAAAGAGATAACTGTATAGAAGGTAAGTACAAACGAATAATGTGTTAATTATTATAACTAGAATTAAGTAAAATGATGAAAAAATGAAAAAACATTATTAATAAGTCAGCATAAACAGGTAAGTATAAAGGTAAGTATAAGGTAAGTATCAGGTCAGTACATTAAAATTTAAAATTTTACTTCTCCTGTATATACTTTTTTTTTTTCTAAAATCTCGATCCTGTATTTAACACTCCTGTTGATATCTCTTGGCATCCCATATAAAAGAATATTAAGTCACATAACAAAAAACTAAGAGTTTACAAAATAAACAATTTTAATTAAATATCTTTCAAATTAATGGTTTTTTGCTAAAAATGATTTAGTTGATTTTTGCTAAAAATGATAGTACTTATTAAAGAAAATACTATGATACATCGATTGATGCTATAAAAAATATACGATGCCATTTTAAAAAAATAAAGTTAAGCTTGAGAAGTTTTT